ATGCAACATCGTTTCTACACTAACTGTAGGCACATGTACTTCAATTGAAAGTTCACAGCATTACAATACCAGTGATCAATGTTGACGAAATGAACTAGAACAAAACAAAGCCAAAATCTGATCTGTAATTTTTGCAAAAGATGATAATAATTATCAAGTGCTGAAAGCCAAGCATAAGAAAATTAAAGAACCGTAGCGCACAAAGGTTTTTTTTTTTCGGTAAAAAACGGGCGCACTTCAGGTTCTTTTGCTTTTAAACTCTGTGCTCGCCAGTTAGTGCTTCTTCAGTGCCATTAGCTTACTTCTAAGCAACGCGAATGTGTTTTTATCAGAGCGCGTGTTTTGCTGATTTTTTGGCAAAACCAGCATCGTTCATTTTTCTACACAATTATTAGAAAAGAAATGTGGAGCTCGTGCAACCGACAGGTCTTCTTCTTTAAATCTTCTGGCCTAAAAGATAGTTTTAGCTAATACTTATGGCAAAAATCCAAATTGTGCGAAACGCATTAAAAGTCCAGAACCAGCATAACCCTCGCGCTGTGCAAGCCTACTTGCAAAAAAGCTTTCTGGTTACTTTTTTAATGCGTTTTTGCATCTTTGCAATGCAAAAACGCATATTGTCGAGGGCTTGTCTGTATGTGTGTGTGTTCGTCTGTACCGGTTTTTCATTTTGAGACCTATAGAAGCTACCGAGCTGAAACTTTTGTAATTTAATCTACATGTACGTACGGGCACCGATTCCCAAAATGGGCGCTCTTACTCACATGGTTCCCACGTACGGACCCGTGAAAGCTTTTTGCGGGTAATTTGTTAACTCGGGAACCTGAAAAGCTGGAGGGCTGAAATTTTAAGATGTTCCCCGCCCATGTAGAACCTAGTGACTTCAAAACTTACCCGCAATAAACTTTCACGAGTCCGTGCATGGGAACTTCAGGCTTATTTGTGGTTCTCACATACGAGCCGACGAAAATTTTTGGCGGGTGAATTGCTAACTCGGCAGCCAGAAAAGCTAGAAAACTGAGAATTTAGGAGAATGTTTTCAGACAGTCCTGATCGCCAGTCTCAATTCTCTTAGCTAGAAGATCTTCAGGAAAACCGGTGCCGTTTGCGACAAAAACTGCGGGGAACTATGCAAAAAAACGCATTTTCGCACCGATAGTCGGTGCGCTGGCCATTTATTTTTAAATTTTTAGAGACAAAGACTGGCAAAAATTCAGGTTTGCATAATACGCTACGAAGACGTAACTCAGGTTAATTGTGGAGATTCTTCGTTAAGGAATAATCGGATTAATCAGATTTTCAAGAGGCAAAAGTGCATAACATTCTGAACTTTTGCGGAGCAAGTAAAATGGCAGCTAAAAGCACTGTACGAAAATTTTTTCAAGAAATGCGAACTAGTGAAGTGGGAGACGAATTTTGTTAAAAAACGCTCCACTTTCGGCTCCGTTTAAAATTCGAGAAGTAATTTAATAGCATGGAAGACATGTGAAAAATGGAATTTACGTTTTGAAAAGATCTGTTATCTTTTTGTTTGTTTTAAACGGCCGCTTCCGGTCGGGAACAGTTCTATTGATCGGCTGCCGGATACCCTGAAAGATAAGACACCTTATCCGTTTAAAAAAAGAAATCGAAATTTTCGTGAAGTTTAAGACGGTCAGTTTTATATTCTTCGTGGCATAGATTTTGAAGTGCACGGTGACGTTGCGATTCTTAGATCAGCGTTCTTCTAAAGTACAGCTTTTCAATTAATAGTATTAGATGTTGACTTACAAAACGTGAAATGTCGAGGCAGGCGTCCAAGCCGAAATAATCCACTATCGACGTTAGCTCCACTGCCAAACTTTCTGGATGATCCGCCCGTGACCCGTTATTCAAGACACAGTTGTTCTGTTTTTCCTGAAAACTTACATCTTCTGCTTTGATTCATTCATCAACGTCACAGAAGTGCGTGAAAGAGATAAGTTTTAATCCAAGAAAACATGCCTACCTCAAGACGGGACTGATATTCTCCACCCTAGTTAGGATAGATTTTGACAACACGTAAACAGCAATAAAGTTATGAAAAATAGTGGTAAAAAACATAGCTACAAAAAAGAAAGTAGTAAATTAAAAAATAAAATTAAAATTAGAAATAAAAAAAACTCAAAATTCATGCCCTCTTCAGGCCATTTTCCTGTTTATTGTGTATATGGAAGTATGGAGTGTTGAGTTTTCATCAATGAACTTGCCTTTCTCCATTGACTGCCCCAGTAGGTTAAGTTACTTTTACAATTTCGAGATGAGGAGAAGGTTCAGACATAGATATTAGCCTTCATACGACATAGCAATGGTTAAGTACAAATACGAGTTCGGCGACAATACCTTCAGTAACAAAAGTTTAAAGATCGCTCAAACTGCTGCTTTGAAATTCCGGCACCATTGGATCCACAAGTACGTTAAGTGATCATATCAATCTATCTTGGATTTCATGCGCTCAATTTATTATTAATAATAAATGAGGAACATGAGACTCGAGATATAATTATGATAATGATAATAATAACAATAATAATAATAGCAATAATAATAGTAATAATAATAACAATTATAATAACAATAGTAACAGCAACAAAATAATGATAACAATTATAATAATAAAGATAGAAATGAAAATAAAGGCAAAAAAATATTTTTTATTCAGTTACTCAAGCAGTGTATGCAGCGTGCAAGTGATCGTTTCTCTTGCTGCGTATACCACTTGGTTCGAGTTAGGCCCACTTTTAAGCAGTATATCCCGCTCATCGTATTTTACTTTCCTGTACTCCCTTGATGAACTTCCGTGCAAACTATTCCACTGCGATCAGTTTAGAAGTTGAAAAAGATGCGCAGACCTCATAGAAGTACATTAGTGAGCGACACTGGAACGATCGGCCATCTAGCACTGACCAAAAGCACCTCAACAAACATTCGGCCGGCGTAACAGCCGTCAAAATTGCATGATGGGGACCGAGTAGTACACGCTGAGGTTGCCGATCCAGCAGTGCTCCGCCGCACAGTTCAGCCAGTTGTGCTAAAACGATTCAATTCATGAAGTTTGGGAGGAAAGGGAAATCCAATGACTGCAGTATTCAACAATAACCCACAGGGTATTGAAATATGTCGCAACGAGGGAGCTACCCAATTTAAACTTCACAGTCCATCGGTATGAAGCTTTTAGTATGGTACTGTCACCGAACAGAGTGTGACAAATAAGCAAATACGAACCCAACCATCCCTCTTTCCAAACTTTTCCTTCCTGCTCTAATGGTTGGGTGGTTGCAGCTAGGGTGTAAAGAAAAAAGAATGGCATTGGAAAAGAAAAATACTGACCTGGAAAGCAGTTTTTTTCGTAATAAATAGTCATGCTGTCAGGGACAAGGAAGTCCACCGCAAATGTGGTAGAGTACAAGCTGCATCGGCTTGAGTTACGATCGAACACTGCTGACGAGCAGTGGTAAGCAGCTTCTTTGTACTGAAACTTTAAGATAACAACTACATTGTGCTCTCGGAAATAATAACGAAAGCCAGAAAAAGCGTTTGTTTTGCAAAAGACACGTATTCGAATGAATGGAATGCGTGAAATCTGCCCAGCTTTCCATTTAGAATCTCCTACTGAGATAATGTACTTTTCAAGGAAAACGTTTTCTTGCTGGAATTTTTTCCGGAGAATTAGTAGAAATTTGCGGACATATCAGGAGACCAATAAAAGACATCCGCCTTAGGAATGAATTTTAAACGATCTTCTAATAGTCAGTAGGCGTTATTTGTCAAACTTACTTTCAACACCTTCACTGACTTCGTCCTCGTTTGCGTTTATGTGTCGCACTAGAGGAACCCCAGTACATCTCGCAGCTCTAAACCTCGATTTAGGTCAATCCTTATGCGGTGATTGTATTCTTAAAAAATGCAGTGTTCAACATTTCCTGCACAACACACACGCTTCCCGTGAATCCTTCGCTCGGAAGCGCGCCACATAG